TTGTGCTCTCCGGGGTCACATGAGTCGACATCTAATTACAGGAATTAGAGTTTTTAAACCTCTTCTGTCTATAATTTGAAAATCCATTTATCTAACAGGGAGGAGGATGTAACCATGTCTAGAAGTTCACGCAAGTGAGAAAAGTTCTCTGAGCGCCATTCATTTGTGAGTGGCCAGAAACGACTCTTTTACATATGCTATCTCATGCCTGCCGGTTTTAGGCCAAGTATCCTCTGGGTAGACAAAAAATATCCTTTTGAAGGCGTATCCCACCCAAGAGTTGTGTTTGAGACCCGGGAGAACAAAATAACCTGGGATGATAGACCCCTCTTTTAGTTGGCTATAACAGCGTAAGTGGAAAACTTTAAAAATGTGGCAACGCTGCTGAAGAATATTGAATTTTCATTGTATTTCATTCAAATATATGTATAAAAGTATGTATGTGTATGAATTAGACTACTACTAAAACTTTTCATACAGTTGGCAACTCATTTATTTTTTAATTTCTTTTTAACAGTACGGTTTGTTGATGCTATATTTTTTAAACTATCGTATTTATCGTTGTTAATATTATATATTATTTTATAAATTTCTATTTATCTCGCAACTGCCTCTATTTGTTTTTCTCTACTGATATTAACATCGCCAAAAGCTATAACCCTATAATAACTCTTTAAATTGAACACGTAATACATTTACATCAAATCAAATCTTCTCGATTGCTTTTTACTTGCGTTAGTGAGGTTAAAGCTTTAAATCTCTCATTTTTCATATTTCTTTGATTACTGCGAGGTCTGAATCTAAATAGCTACTGGCTAAACTTCGTCGACTAACTGTTGTGTTTTCAGAAGGCAAAAAGTATTTTTTCTTTATTCTTTAGATCAGTGTCAGATTGCTACTGGAAACTTTGCTTTTTTGATCGTTGTTAAGAAAACAGACACCTATCTCACGCACAAGTCGTGAATAATACGATCTAAGGGACAAAGCTAGAGACTCAATAAGTTCAGTAAGCGACTGCCAGATCCAAGGGCCTTCAACCTGCGTCTAGTAGTCTATTACATCTATTCAGGTTGCATTATCCTGTGACTAGTGTATGAATTCCCTCCGACGGTTTTGAGTGTACTAGTTGATTGTATTATCCCTGAACAGTAGCTCGTCAGTGGAATAATTCCATTTAGCCTTGTTGCTAAGGGTAAAACTTAAACTTCTTAGTAAAGTATTACCAAAAAGGTACTCCTCCTTGAAAAAAGGGCCAATAGTATTCCTCCCCTTAACTCTTTCATCCGCTGAGATGAGATTACATCATCTCTGTTACACCTTCTGCTGTCATTTGTAACAGATTAGATCTTTGGAATTAGAGTTCTTTCTGCCCCAGAGATGGATCGTAAGATATCTTCCCAACTACTTTTCCTTAGAAAAACCAATTCGCCGTATTTCTAGGTGTTTTGACTGGACACTGTTGAATATGTTCACTCGCGGTGCGGCTAAATGTTTTGCTGTATGCACTGTACCACTTTTGCTGTATGGAGTAAAGTGAGGTGTAATCATCTTCATCATCTTTCACCTATATTGTCCGACTTCTGTCAGACTGAGCTTGAAATATCCACTTACGGAGATATTTCCTCCTTTTACGAACCTAGCAAAGTTAGTGGGATTGATATTAGCCGTCGAGCTAGGAGGATCTGGTGTTCCACTTTTATTAGTTTATACGTAATACAAACGACGAATAACAATCCAAGTGAGATCCAACAATTTTGGTTCTACCTTTCGACTAACCTTACATGGTGACATTGTGGATTAAAATTCGCTTATTATGTCAACAGTGGAGACATGGTTGAGGGTTAAGTTTCTATAACATAATCTAATTTAATGGCATGGCCTGTGCCTGTTATACTCCAGACATTAAAATGTATAACATGAGAATGATCTTAAAATGTTCGAAAACATAAGCATATATATAGAGTAAATTTCACGAAAATATTCAATAAAAATTTTCAAATAATAAAAGAAAAATCAAAAATTTAGGTTTGACTATATAACTATTTAAATAATTTATTATTTATTTTGATTAGTAGTTTTGTTTTCCAATCCATTGCACTTGCACGATAATTTCCACATATCCAAAATCACAAATACAAAATACAAAGACAACACCAATACACGAGTATACGAGTACGAGTACGAGTAGGAGTTATGCAAATACAAATAAAATTCGTTATTTCAACAAAAAAAAAAACAAAAAAATTATAAAATAAACATTTAGTGATTACAACAAATTTTATGYGGCAGTACAACCGAAAAATATATATTATTGTAATATGCACGATCTTCGACAAACAGAAGTTTTTTTTTTATGAGTTTAATGTGAATTTCTTCACATCTTTTTGTAAACATATGAAATTTGGTACACAAAATAACAATGAAATTTGTAAAGGAAAATTGTGGATATTGGGTGTGAACTCACTGGAAGAGCCTCCGCCAGCGCCCGGTGGCGGATATGAGAACCAAAATTGATGTGCCAGTTTGGTGGGGGTGCCCAGAGGGCTATCTGCAATAAAAGAGAAAGAAATATAATACAGTATATAAAATTTTAATATATTTTTTTTTATTTTTCGGTTTCGAAAATTTATTACTAATCCCAACCACAACACAGCTATAAGCACCTAAACCAACAGTTAGTTGTTGTGACACTCAAAATTGAATAATTCACAAACTCTATGCATTTCCAAGCACATTTGTTTGGCTGCCAGCTGCAGTGGTCACACTAAAATCGCACAAAAACAACAACACCTAAAACACCCGAGGTGTTAAGCAGCGACTATAAAATTCACACAATCATCATCGGTCACGTTGAGCCTTGCCAACCAATCACATGGATTTGGTGGACTTTGTTGTTGTCGTCGGAAATTCATACCTATACTACACATACGCTCGGTTGCTGTCGTGCACTTAGCTGAGTTGCAGGCGTTCGCACACATTTGAACGCTTGCCAAAAATCGGTGTTATGAAATTTTCATTTTCACACCAGTCACAACGAGTCGCACTGCATGAAGTGAGATAATGACAGCTCTCAGAGGTAGCACCAAATGAGTGTTAGGTGAAAGCGGTGCATTTAAGTGGTTGAGGACCCCTTTTTAGCCATATTCATTTGTATTTCTGTGTGTGTATATGCGAACTGATCCCTCAATTTTTGAATGAATTACCCGTCATTTTCTCCACAAGAAGCTACATACACTTAGCTGCCATACGAATTTAAATATCAGAACCACGTGTGGCAAGCTTTTTCATTTGACGTGATATCGCCACGAAATTTGGCATGGATTACTGCTTAAGACAACGGTGCAATCTACGAAGAAATTCTTCAGATCACTATAGCATAGATGTCTTATAAACTGACCGATTAAAATATATACATATATATAAAGAACATCCCTTAAATCCTTTTATGCTAAAGAAATATACTTGTGACGTGTATTATGGGCTTACAAGGGTTTCCTCGGGTAAAAACCAATACTTTTTCAACAATTTTTTTCTCATAAAAATTAAATATTTTATTATAATATTTGATTGTTACAAACATACACTATTAACAAAGAAATTCTGAAATTTTTCGAAAACGTATTTTAGCCGACGACGCCATTTCCGGAGGAATCCACAAAAACAAAGATTCGCCCGCGTCGACAGAATAACTCATTACAGTATCATCTAAAGTGAAAAAATACGGGTTTTAGTTAAAACTTTAACCTAGAACTTGGACGAAGGAAAACAGCTGAAAGTTGAATTTTTGGCAGACATTTTTAAGGGGGTATTCTACTCTAGAATTTTGAAAAATTCGATTTTTTTTTTTTCATATATATACTCTTAAGAACATGTCCTCCAAAGGATTTTTAGAAATTAAAATTATTTTAAGAGCTACAGTTACTTCCGTGACGCAGTACCTAGCCCGGTAGGTAGGCAGACTCACTTTTTTTAAACACGTTTTTCTCGAAACTACTTTTTTCCACACGGTATCGGCATTACTTGAGTTCTATACAACCGATTTACTTGAAATTTTGTGTGAACCTTCTTTATATTATATAATCCTTTATCACTTATCTTTATATAATCCTTAATCCTTTGTTTTTAATATTTTAAAAAATTCAGGAATTTCAAAAAAAAAGCGTAAACAATTATTTTTATTTTCAGGCAGTCGCCATTTTTCAAAACATACTATAACAGCACCCTTACTGATAAAGAATTTCTTTTTATTATTTTTGTTTTTTAGACCACCAGGAAAGTCAGGATCAATGTCACCAAGATGCGAAATTTTTTTTACACCTGCCTCTCCCCCTCCCTCCCTTCTAATTATTTTAATTTTTAATATTTTTTTCTGTATTCCTAAGATATCAATAAAACAAAACACCATAAAAAAATGAATAGTAAAAATATTTTTGGTTTTTTTTTAATAAAATTCAAAAAACTACCCTAAATTTGATTTTTAGAGTAGAATACCCCCTTAAAGAAAAATTAGAATTTCATTGACTTTGATTGAAATTCTTCATCAAAGTTTCTTAAGAATTGTTTCTCAAAGATCTGTGTAAAATTTCATGAAGATCAGTTAGGTAGTTCTCGAGAAACTACAAACCGACTTCAAAAACACAGTTCGAGAAAAGAGGGCCCACTTAACCTTAGTTCACAAGGTTTTATCTCCGAAAAGATTACTTGGATCAACTTCAAAAGTTGGAGATTATTTTAGAGGTGTTGTTGAATTTAATAAGATCGATAAAAATAATAGATTTTTTGGAGACCCTAAATCCTTGATTGTACATTGATTTAAAAAATCAAACTACAATTTATATAAAATCTAATAACCTTTAAAAAAGGAAAATTTCTAAAAGAATATTCCCTCTTTACATTATGTGCAACCATGTTAGTTAATTTAAGCAATTAGTGTAAATTAAATCAATTAGTTTGCAGTTCATATACACCGAATTTATCTTCTCTAAATTATATTTTTTAAAAAACAATTTTTATGAATATAGTTTTAGAAATATTACTTCCAAAAATATCTTGTCAGAAAAACTTGTAAAAATTAAGCAAACAAATTTTCTGCCACTTTTAGATTTTTTGACAATTCTTATAAATTTACTACTTGTCAATTTTGTCAGCACTTTCATATTCCATTTTCTCTGCTTAGGTTTGACCTTAACACTTTTCCTTGTCATTTTTGCACTTGATATTTTTCTCTCATTTCGAACACTCACTTTTCTCTCTCGCTGGACAGACACGACACGCTTGAATATTGAATTTGTCACAAATTTATTGGCAATTAGGCGCTAATTGGCAATTACTTACTATGGGTATATGGTAAGTTTATGTATGGGTGTTAAGTCGCCGACTTCATTAATTGGCAATTAAGGTGGAACGTTGGACATAACATACATACGTACAGTTTGTGTTACCTCTTATGTCGTTATATAAACATTAAAATATTTAGAAAGAAACAATCGTCCAATTACTAGGCTGCTAACTGCAAACAATGGTGCTTTTTTGGCAGCAATCATTTGGGCGTGAATATTTGCCCTAGCTCGGCATTGATCTGAGGATTGCTTGCTAGCAAAAATAAGTATAAAAAGTAGCTAAAGAGAGTAAACTTGAGAGAGCAATTTCTAATTATTTTACAACTGCCTAATTTTCGCAATGAAGTAAAGAAAGCGAGTAACGAAGCGCTAAGTTCGGGTGCAACCGAACTTTTTATACTCTTGCAACTTGTGGTGGGATATCACCCGATCTTGGTAGCCAATCGACCGGCGCGGTGGAATTATCTGCTCTACGAAGTGTTCTTTCAAAAAATCCATTGATTCAAGCGATGTGTGGGAAATAGCACCGGTTTTTTGAAACCAAGATCACAAACTTCAAAATCAGACATCAAATAGTGCTTTATCATGGCACGATAACGGTCGCACATTATCTAATAATGAATGCTGGATCTCAAGATGGTTGATGATGTTTCGAATAGTACGCTCAGTAGGCCCATTATGTTGGCCATTAGTCTTCGTACCAATGACGTAAGTCTTTCTATAATGAAATGCTAAACGATTCTGAAGAGAAGGACAAACATGACAACTTGTCACGACTCACGCGTGATCTGTAAAAAAAAAGGCTATTAAAAAAATACCTCTAATAGGGCCACCCGTTATATATATCTACATAACTCATACAATGACTGACATAATCGACAAAAGGTTTTTTAGAGATTCATATGTTGTATATGTGAGTTGTGGATAGTATTGACCCCCAGACGGGTGTTCGCAAATTTTGATACTCCTCTATATGTAATGTATATAACACTATATCTATCTCTAGTTAGGCGAATAAAACTTTTATACTCTTTGGCAGCATGTTGCAAGAGTATAATATTATGACTATAAAATTAATATCTCCAAGCAATAAACAAACCCCACTGTGTGCCACTGTTTATGACTGGATATACAATATAGACAGCTTTCGACAGCGCTAAACAGCGTCTCACAGCTGAAAGCGACCTGTTACGATGCTCAATATACTTTGTGGTTGTATGATTATTTAGTTTATTTTGCGCTGCCCTCTTGCCCTTGTCCACGTTGCTTCCTCAGAGAAAATGCTCGATAGCGACAGTTTTATGACCGCCGCCGTTGGCAGCCCGAGCAGCCGACAGCATATGTGTGTGCGTGTGTGCCAAAAACCACTGACTTGACGCTCCTCCTTACTGTGCACGCCCCCTTCGGTGCGACTAGCAGCTGTCAAGCAATTGCTGTTGTTGATTGAGCACTTGTGGAATATTGGAGCTTTGGTGTGACGACTGCGAAAGCACATACACACTACATATATTTCCGTTTATATTAACTTTTGCCTCGAAACGTAAATGTTTATGTGTGTGGGTGTTTTGTTTTTGTAAATAAACACTATAATTGTGAATATTTGGCACTCTTCTTTGAATTAGCTTGTGTGATATAATTTTTCTTCTCACAATTTGTGAAATCTTATATTTTTTAGCAGTAATTTTAGTATATTTCCATAATTTTAATAAATTGTTGTAGGAGGTTCTTTAGAAGTGATATTAAGAATACAGCAACGAGATACGACTTTTCTCTACGATTATAAAAGATTTTGGATTACAGTCGATATGCTTTTGGGTAGTTAACGCAGTTGAGGTTATTTGAAGCATGACCGCTATGTGGTCATCAGGGGTACGCGCATATACTAATGACATAAAAGCAATAAGTATCTTTACAATGTTTTCCGTAGCAAAAAAGTTTTTTTTTTTTCTTATTAAAGTGACGAACTTAATCTTAGGTTATTTGAGGGAAAGGAGGTATAGCTGCTAGGTAAGGTACAGGGTTTGTCCGGAAAATAATAGAACTGCGCGCACCGACTGGATTCTTTAGAGGGGTTTCCTAGCTAAAGAACGAGCGGCTGGTCAGTTCTCTCTGGAGAGTCGGGCAAATATTTTCGCGCGTCGTGTTTTTGTGAGTCGTGCAAGCCGAAAACGCAGCGTTCGTTAGAGCAGAAGTACATGATTAAGTTCTGTATGAAACTCGGCAAATCTGCGACAGAGACGTTTGATATGATCAAGAAGTGGTGAGTTTCGGTGATACCCGGCCTTTTTTGAAGAGACGATGAAGACAAGATGTCGCAAAGTGAAAAAAGTGCTCATTGACCTTTTTGACATTAAAGCATCGTCCACCATGAATTTGTTGAAGTCCTCAAATCCTGAAGAGAATCGCAGCCGATTGGAAATTGCACAACGACAATTCCCCGGCTCACACCGCCTTTCTTGTGAACATTTATCTAACCAAGGCCTACAGAAACCACCTTTGAAAAGAAAAGAAATTCATGGAAATGGAATTAAACATCTCCAAAACATCTTATGAGAGTGATGTGCATGGTTTGTTCCGCACAAATTGACCGACGACCAATGCATTTGCCCATGAAAGGAAAGCGTTATGCAGACGAGATGCCATTCAAAAGGCTTGTACCGGCATACTGACGGTCATACCGGCCAAAGAGCAAAAACAATCATTCGACATGCTTTTGGACCGTGCAAAAAGCTGTATTGAAGCAGAGACTATTTTGAATAAAATAAATTGATTTTGCCGAAAAAAACCATTTGTTCTATTTTTTTGTTTTAAGTCCTGTTTACCTTGGAGCACACCTTGTCACCAAAGCAGTCCTTTTCTTATCATTATAAATGTTAAACAACTATTTGAAATTGCTGTTATAATACCTGGTAAACAACAAAGCAATGTAATTTCTTCGTTTTATGTTACTGCAAAACCGCCGAGTAAACCCCTGTAATTTCGTTACAGCATGCACAACAGTGTCTTGTAACAGGAATGTTACACATAACAAACAGTTGTTGTCTCATCATCACGAAGCAGGGAAGCAGCACTGTAGAAAAGAAGTGCAACAGAATGACCGAATGTTAATACAACGTCATTCATGTTCGTTAACACTCTCTGTTTGGTAGTCGTATGTTGGTAAGTGCGCTTCGGTACGTGATCGCGAACAAAGTTGTAAAAAAGTAATAAATTAATAATTTAGTGAAGTTTTTTAAGTATTAATTAATAATTATTTGAATTTGTGAATGTAAAGTGATAAGTGCGTGTTAATTAATAGAAGTGAAAGTGTGCAAATGTATTTAGCAAAGCACTGCACAATTTTTTGGTTTGGCAAACATGTTTCTGCATGCTCGTGTGAAAACTGTGTTGTTACAAGAAGATTCCCAACTGTGCGCTACCAACGCAGCAAATATACATATGTATATACATATACATATTATATACATATGTATCATATTAAATCTAAGTTTAGTGAGAAATCTATTAATATTGGTGATACTGAATTGTTTTTATTGTTCAATCCTTCATTTAAAATATCCGACTATGTTTAATCGAAAGAAATTAAATATGTACATATGTATGTGCAGGCAATACACGGTAAGGGTAAGCACGTTAATATGTACATATGTATGTATTTACTGTACATCTGTTTTATATTAAAATTGTTTATAGTCATATGTACATACGTATGTTATATATAAATATATAAATATGTACATATTTATGTTTGTATAATTATATGAACAAATGCATATAATTAGGAAATCAATATACATATGTATGTACATATGCATGTGTTTACATTCAAACGTGAATCTGTTAATTAAAAAATGTTAAGCAGACAATTCAAGAGATTTATTGATCTTAACTTTCTCGTCCTTTTCCCATTTTCTGTGAATTTAATTTATTTTTATTAATTTCTTTTTTTGTGCCGTGTTGCTTCTTCTATTACGTTCAAAATTTTAATTATGCCGGTTTTATTGATTATAACAATAAAATTTATTTGTTTACAAACAGTTCGCAGAAAATCGTATTAAAAATCATGTTAATTAGATGTTCTGCTGAAAAATAAAAGAACAAACATTGGCAAGTAAACATTACGAAATGTCTGGTTTAAAAATTTAATGAATTTTCAAGATAAAAGAGAATTAGTAATAATAATATTATTTTTAATATATGAGGGGGTATTCCAGAAATACACAAGTAAGAAAGGTACTTTTCCTTACTTTATGAAGCCAATAAAAAATATAGACTACCAATTAAACAATTCCATTATATTGTTATGACATCCTTGACGACAGGAAGCGAGCACAGATGCGAGCTTAGACTATATATCTACATACATATAACACAAAATATTGCAAATGTAAATTTTCTGCACTGAACTAATAATTAAATTAATTTCTGCTCTTTGTTTTTTCCAGGTATGTGTTACAAATTTGGTGGCTTTCTAATCAAAACTTTAATAAAATACCAATTTGAAATCAGGGTAAGTTCGAAATTATTAAAAGTGAATTAGATATTTTTATTTTAAATAGATACATATTTCTTTTCACTTAGTTTTTTAGAATCGTACCTCCTGCTCTTATTATAAACTAATAAATGAATGAGTCTAGGCTTTATCAGATTTTTCTTAATTTTTAAGGTTCTCCTATCTTGAAGTCACACTTACTAAAAATATGGTAACAATATATAGCAAAAATGTATTATTTAAAGAACTTTCAAAGCATTTCAACAAAGAAAAAATATGGTAACAATATATATTGTTTTTGGAGGAGGACTTTATGCAAAGGGAGTCTTTTAGACATTTGGTTTTCAACTATGTATGTTGCTCTTTGCGGCGGCTATTACTTGATTTATAGTCAGTTTGGTGTGCCATTTGATAATGAACAGACCCTGTCTGTAATAATATGTGCAAATCGTGCATATTTATAACCAAAATAATGGTTCAGAAAAAATATGGTGAAAAGGCACCAGTTTAGTTATATGGGGGCTAGTTCAAATTTCCTCCCAATTGTATCGTATCTATTTTAGGCGAAAAGCTACAGTGTTATCAGTAAAACACGTTCTGCGCTTTGCATTCAAGTAGCTCAAATATTGTCCGATATATCCAATATAAAGTCACCCGGAAGTTGAAAAATCTTTATATTAGTTATATGGGGTATCATCGAAGTATTGACCCGATTCAACTCATTTTCGATACGCAGAGATACTATTATCAGGAGAGGATTTTCTGTGAACATTGATTATACATTGGCAGAGAATTTTCAGTTAAAAGTCAACTATGTATACTGGGATACACATTTTCGATGTGGCTAGCATAAACTTCTTCTGATTATAGCCGAGTTCACAACAGCGTGCTATTCGTGCTTTCTTTTCTCAGTAGAGTAACCAGGTTATTCTCCACCTGGGCTTTCCAAGTGAGTGGAGCGCTCCTCTCCCTTTGCTTCTCCCGGCGGGTACTGCATAGAATATCCTCAGAGCTGGAATGATTTCATCCATTCAGATGACATGACCAAGCCAGTGTAGCCCCTGTATTTGAATTCGCTGAGATATGTCAATATTGTCGTATATCTCATACAGCTCATCGTTTCATTGACTGCGGTATTCGCCGTTTCCAACGCGCAAAGGACCACAAATCTTCCGCAGAACCTTTCTCATGAAAGCTCGTAACGCAGTCTCTCCAGATTTTGTCTTCGTCCATACCTCCGCACCATATCATCGGACGGGAATTATGAGTGACTTGTAGAGTTTGGTTTATGTTCGTCGAGAGAGAACTTTACTTTTCAGTTGCCTAGTCAGTCCACAATAGCGCCTGTTGGCAAGAGCAATTCTGCGTTGGATTTTAAGGCTGACGTTGTTGCCAAATCGCGAGTGCGACTTTTGTTTTTGTGTAAGGAAATATTTTGTCTTGCCCTCGTTTACTACCCGACCAATTGGGTTGGCATAAACTGACTCATCAAAATTAAGTTCTTCTATGGAAACTGCTTTATTTGTTATTTGTGAATGCTGTTCTAGCTACGGTGCAACCGAAGTTAATGTTTCTTGTTAGTTTTATTGAAAATTTATAAGCAGCGGCAACCCTCGAAAATGCAGTGTTTTTTAGCCTTAGTAAATCGTTCTGTTTTTGGGTCTTTTTTCAATCAACATGTTTTTACTGGTGATAAAAATCGAATTTGTTGAACACTTCCAGGTATACCTCGAACAATTGCCTTCAATTTTCGCTATGCTAACACGCTGTATATGGTTGCGTTCCATAATTTTGTGACGCACCATACTTAACTTGACTCAAAATTATAAAACTAAAATTTCGGAAGTGTGCTTTATATTTGCTATTGGGTCAGGTGCTGAACACCCATCTTACTTTGCTCATTCATAATCACTTGCGGTGCCTGCGTTTGCCGCAAAAGCTCATTATGCGAATCGCACATTCTAAATTTATTTCCAATAAAAAACACCCACTGCTCAGTATTTGCCCGATTAATTCACAAATATCCATCAGTATTTGTCTGATTGATTCATGCGCTTATTTAAACTTCAATATCGATGCATTACTAATCACTATGAAAACTAGTCAAATCATATTTGCACAATACAAGCATTAATATTTGTTTATTTAGCAAATTAAATAATTTTTTTATTGCCACTGGATCGACAAAGTTCCTCCGCACTTTTCACATAACACACAGGAATCTTTTCACACACAATAAACGCTGAATACTGGCTAGCCACTGCCTTAATGCCGTTGCCATATTTTGTCGAGATTTTCGAAAGAAATCCAATTAGAATTCGCAATTTCTATGATTTTCACAACAAATTAACACCAAACGCAGCCATAAAACGAGATACTCAAGAGCTTATTTCTTAAATTAGCCTATCCAAACAAACTGAAATGGCGCACAACGCACAGCGCCAGCCGTTAAATGGCAAACTGTCGTCAGTCGCTTTTGCAACTCAATAAAAATTTTAAGTATTTTTCGTATTAAAAAAAATTCAGAAGCGTATATTGGTGACGCGCTTCATTTGCACGACAGCTTACCAAACAAAAAAAAAAGTATTTATTTTTTTTTGCGTTTTTCCGTTTTGTTTTGCATCCAAAAATACACACTTGCACACAGTGGTCGTGCGAAGTGTCGACCCAAAGGTACACGCAGCGCCTCGCCGCTTTGCTTTGGCCGCACCGCTCGTTCGCTTGGCAGCGCTCATTTACCGTTACTTTGTTTACTTTTCACATTTTTCGAGCTATCAAAACTCATAAATTCTCGCAATTGGCTGGCCATTGCAATGAGTGTGCCTGACAGACGTCAAGACAAGTGGTGATTTTGGCATTTTCCACCGAACTGAAATTTCAAATTAATTTTCCAACAGTGTGGTTCGTAGGCAACAACAACAAAAGTATAATAATGTGGGGGGAAAAAGTTTGGCAATGAATGTGTGAACATTATTTCCACGTATTGAATATCAAAATTAGTATGCCCGAAAAAAAGTCAAAAAATTATGTGAAAGTGGCAGCGCAAAAAGTCACGCCCTCAACTTTTTGTGTTCGAAAAATATCGTTAATTCCCTTTCGATTTCACCAGCAAACTTTCACCAAGTGCCACTTTTACTTACCCAAACTTTTACTCCACTTTAAACTGGTCTTAAGTTTTTGGCGGCCAATTTCACTTTACGCGCACTAACACAAGCACAACTACAAGCCCATGCTCGTTAATAATATTCGCTAATTTAATTCTTAATTTCGCGCTGTGTGGCTTTTTGCCGCTTCCAAGAATTTTGCTGTGATCTTTGTAGTGGGAGTGAAGTGCTCTCTGAACTGTGATGATTGAGGTTAGTGTTATTACTTCTGTATATACTTTAGTGTGTTTTGCTGTTGATGTTTTTAAGGGCATTACTTATTGCCAAGTTTAGCTCAATCACTTGCTTACTTTATTTCCATCCGAAAATATTGGATTACATTAGTTGTAAGTGGATATTCATGTTAGGTTTATGGCAGCTAGACGAAGGTCAAACCTGATTTCATTCATATTCATAACCGCATTCTGGCCAAGAAAATATTTCAACTTAATTTTATTAATCCGACCCATATTCAAGTGAAGTATGATATAATGCTTACGGGCAACCGGCTCTTGATTTTAGGTCTTTGGAGCAGACGCAGTACCGCTAAGGAACTCGGCCTAAACTAGCAATGCGATTGAGAAAAGGTGATATATGAGGAATTGAAAACAACGTTTTCATTCCATATTCACCGACGTATCAAAGACTACTTTTGCAGTAATTCATACGCAGAAGGCAGTTACAACCTAAACGACTACAGTACAGTATTTTTAAGCCGAAATTGCTAGCATAACAGAAGAAGTCAAATGGGCTTCTGCTCTAACCATCAAAACTAAAAACCTTCTAGTGGATAACTAAGCAGCAAATTAGGCTATCCATATCGCTAAAACGGAGATTCATTTTGTTAGGTTATGCAAGCAGAAAATAACTAGACTTTCAGTGTGTAATTTGGGTAATATTATCTGGGTACCCAGTTATAAAGGAATAGAAGGTTTCAATTCCTGAGTTGGGCTATACAATACTTACAAAAAAACAGAACAAATGGTTTTTTCGGCAAAATCTATTAATTTTATTCAAAATAGTCTCCTTGTGCTTCACTACAGATTTTTGCACGGTCCAAAAGCATGTCAAACGAGTGTTTTAGTGCCAGTATGCCGGTGCAAGCCTTTGGATGGCCTCTCGTCTGCATAACGTTTTTCTTTCATGGGCAAATGCATTGGTCGTCAGTCAATTTGTGAGAAACAAACCGGCATACACGGGGCGCAACATTCAAAAAAATTTCAATAAGCTGGACAAGACCATTGAGCTTCTTCAGAAATTGTTTGAAACACTACACCGTAGAGGAACATCTCAAGTCTTCGAACTCTTGCAGCACAGGTTACTTCCACATACTCCAAAGTTACTTTAGGGTTGTGTTGATGATTGATAGGCTAAGACCACTTCTCCACTTCTCCACTTCTCCACTTCTTGCAAAATGTAACTTAGTATTATTGTTGTGGAATCTACCCTTCAGACCGCACTTCAAAAATAATGAGAAAAAATTTTAAGCTGTACGTAAAGAGTTTGAAATGGCGTTCCACAGTTCCCTTATACCGCGTTCCTGAAGAGTGCGCTTAAAGAGCAGGAGTGCAAGTCGGCTGTTTGTTGTGATTGAAACTTCTCGACGTCGAACCTTCTATATGTTTGTTGACGTGCGTTTTTTGCTGCACAGCGTGGTCTGAGGAGCTTAAGCACCTCTAAAACACTGGAGTCGTGTATTTCGTCTATCATTTTCGATCCGGAGACAGCTAGGTAGCTTGATGAATCTTCTTATGCTGTAATCTAGTACTACAGATAAACATATCAGCCACGATCAGCCTCAACCCATTTGGGGATGTTTCATCATGGAGGCTGAATTTACCGACCGTTGTGCCAAAGATACCTTCCTTGCCCGCCCTAACGTTAAAGCAGCAATTTAAACTAACCAATCAAAATCAAGATAATATTCTTCTTATACCCCCTTTAGGTTATAAAAAAAAAACATCTATTAAGGGTGTTATCGTTTCGGTGAAGCAGAGTTTAACGTTTTTCTTATTTTGAATAGCTGATGCGAAATATTAGCCAATTAAGTATCTTTGAAACTTTTAAAAGTTTTTAATAAACTTTTTTTTATTTTCCAAAACAAAGTCGAACACCACCAATTCCACAACTCAACTTTCTGAACTGTTACTGTGTGGGTATCTTTTTCTGCTCTTTACTGAAATCCTCATTGTTCTGTTTCCTAAGTGCCCGAGGTCATGGTTACCGCAATGCGCTTACCCAACCGAATTGTATTGCGCACCGCTGAATATATTCATATAACACGTATGTAGATATGTATCTACTTGAGTGTAGGCGGGAGCAGGTCTCTATGTAGGTTATGCGCTACAATACACGCAATATTTATAAAATTGAAAGAAACATACTATACGAGTACATATGCAAATATTATTATAGCATATGAGTTGTGAGTATAGCATTGGTTGCATCCCAGAGGCACACATGCACACATATGTACATGCATCGCCGTATGTGAAGGCATATTTGTTATTATGTTTCGTACTTTTGTTGTTCTCTTTGTGTGCACTTTGAAGGATTAAAAAATTAAAACATATACTATAAATAAAAAATATTATAAAAATAGTGAACAAGCTTATGCTTCTGTAGTTCCACCGATTCTTTATGACTGCGCAGCTTTGAATAAACATATGTGTATATAAACATACTTAGTAAATAGCAAATAAGATTTTTGCAAATTGAAAATCTGTTTGTATAGCCTACTGCTAACGTCGTTAAATAAACTTCTTTAATCCCTTATATATCTGGCACTAAAATCTTATTCAGACAAAAAGAAGATTTAACAGCAGATATATTTGCTTTAATTGAATAATTTAACTAAAAATATTTAATTTAGAGCATTTTTTTGTTTTTTCGTTTATCATAAGTGCATTAAATATGAATTAGGGAGGGGCCCCATAGGTCCACTACCAAATTCATGAACACAGCGAAGGCCGCAAATAATGCTGCAGTGAAGTATATATTGAACAGGTCAATTGAAAAGTCACTGACACATAGGTGACGCTACTATAATTTAGTTAATATTATTTTTAGTTAGTCCTAACCTTCAAAAGTCGTTTGTATAAATTTGACATTAGCTCGTAAGTTATAGCACTTTGAGTGAATCAACTTTTGATATTGTGAAAAAAATTGATAAAGGGGAATTTCCCGTGTTGATAAGTTATTGGTTTTTCAATGGAAAAGATACACTTGAAGCAAAAACTTGGCTTGACGAAGCAATCAAGGAAAATCAACCATCAAGGATGGTATACTAAGTTTAAACGCGTTGAAATGAATACCGAAGAAGGTGAACATAGTGGATTCTCAAAAGAGCTTGTCATCGGCGAAAATATGAAACAAGTCCACAAATTAATTTTGAATCACCATAAAGTGATCTCTAGATTTTAAACTCAAATATTGGCCGATATATACGAGGGAAGTATTAAGCAGAATCAACCCATTTGTAATGCACGGACTATTATTATATAAAGAAGGTATTCTCTCTGAATTTCAATTGACCAATATTTTCGGTTAAAATTCAACTATAAGCTTGAACACTTCTGGTTCGGTTAACGCAATTTTTAGTCATAAGATGGCTCTGATTTCAAATACACTATTACCCTGATATATTAATTTTTTTATTTCATTACTGGAAAGTGAAAATTTCCAATGAAATTTAAAATTTGGAAGTAGGTGTGGCTGTAGTCCGATGTCGCCCATTTTCACACTGTACTATAAAAATGGCTGAGGGCTGTTACATTTTTTTGAAGTCGGTAGGGTGGGTCTTGAGATATTTCACCTGCTGTCATTGCTATTGCTTTGGCGTGTACGATCGAGCAAAGAGCAATTCCCACCATAACCGGTTCTACGCCCCGGAATTTACCCGGATTTTATCCGGTCACGGGCTGTTGTTTCGAAGAT